GAAAAAATAGATTTTTCATATGTTTTACTATGTGATCGACAAAAATTACGTAGACTTTTGTCCAGTGAGTGTATATCATTTTGAAGCGATTTAAGCTACATCAAACCAATAAATTTTAGCTGTGAAGTTAGAGCATCATAAACCCCTGACAAAAATTCTCGTCCAATTCGATGTCGATCGCCTGATTATGACATTTTTCAACCATTACCTCGAAATGCCACGAGCTACAGAATTAACTGACTTTGAGCGTGGGATTATTGTTGGTCTACACTTGGGAGGAAAACATACACATCAGGAGATAGCTGCTATAGTCAGACGTTCGAAAGGAGCTGTTCAAGGTGTAATCGAACGATATATAGATGGTGGGTTCACTACGGTCTGGTAGGTCATCCAAACTGAGTAAAAGAGATGAGCGACAATTAGTAAGGGAAGTCAAGGCATTTAACAAGTCTCTTACTATTTCAGTAAGTTCAAAAACTGTACAGCGTATTATGGATTTTATAGTAGAGTTGCAAAAAAAAAAAAGCCATTAGTAACTGAGAAAAATAAGAAAATACGTTTAGAGTGGTGTAAGAAGATGAAGAATTGGAAGGAGGAATGGGATAAAGTAATTTTCAGCGATGAGTCAAGATATCTAATATTTAAAATGATGCTCATAAGCTTGTCTGGAAGAGGTGTGATGAAAAATACAGTGTGTCAAAAAAAAAACCGGAATAAAAGTTTTATTCACTGTGTCTCAATGCATGTACCAAATTAAATGGTTTATAGCTTATTGAAAGGTGGAAACCAACAGATTTTATTAATAACAATTAATAAGCAATTCTCTCTCCATGATTTTTAATAATAAGCTCACAACGATGTCTCATTGAGCCCACAAGATTTTCTATAACAGTATCCGGGATACTTCTCCACTCCTCCACCATAAATTGCTCCAGTTCATTGATATTTTTGGCATCCGTTTTTCCACATTACCCTTCACAATAGCCCACAAATTTTCAATAGGATTTAAGTCAGGACTATTGGATGGCCAGTCCATGACTACTGGAGCATTCTCATCAAGAAAGGCTTTAGCAAGACAACTCGTATGCTTGGGGTCATTGTCCTGCTGAAACCTCCAGTTACCCACTCCAAGCATGTGATCAATTTCTGGGAAATGTTGCTGAAGAATTTCGACATAGAATTTGGCATCCATGATTTTTCGAAAGCAAAACAAGTTTGTCTTGCCAGTTACACAAAATCCATAATCTTCGTGCATTTTTATACCAACGTTCTACAGTATTACGGAAGAGTTGAAATGCTGTTCATCTGAAAAAACAGTGTGGCTCCAGTCATCATTAAGATGTTTTTGGGCCCATTCTACACGTTTTTGCTTGTGACCATCAGTCAGCATAGGTGTTGCTTTTGGAAGGCTTTTTTTATATCCAAGATCCTTTAAATGGTTGGCAACTGTTGCATGGGACACATTTACACCTATTTTCAGCAACTTTTTTGCCAAAGTTCGTGTTGACAAGGAAGTGTCTCGCCTAATAGATTGCCCAAGCATCTTCGAAGCATTTCCGATAATTTTTCTGGGCCGACCATTGCCACCAGCATGTTTGATGGTTCCAGTTTTTTTTAGCTTTTTTATATTATCATATATTGTTGAAAGTGGGATGTTTGTACGTGCATGTAATTCACGAGCATTACGCACACCCTCATTCCACAAATATAATAAAGTTTTGCGTTGTAATTCTTTCTTGGTGGCAGATATTGTGCAATGTTTTATTCAAAAAGTTACATATGTATGCAATAAAGAAAGTAGTTTAAATTTATCCCTAAATCTTTATGTTTGTTTTGAATCAAACGCGTTGTAAATTGGTTCCAAATTGGGCATGCTAGACGCGTTTTTGTGATGCGTACAATTTCCGGTTTTTTTTTTGACACACTGTATAAGCAGGACTGCTTAGTACCAACGGGTAATGGTGTGGGGATGCTTCTGTAAAGACAGAATGGGGCCGCTGAATGAGAATATTAATGCTGCCAAGTACATACAAATATTGGACGAACATTTATTGCCATATCTACAAGAGCTTGGCATAGAAAACTATATTTTTCAAGATGACAACGCCCCTTGCCACACGGCAAAGTCAACAGTTAAATGGAAAGAGTCAAAATTAATTGATTCGCTTGAGTGGCCTTCCCAAAGTCCTGATCTTAATCCCATAGAACTTTTGTGGGATGAATTAGAAAGGAGAATTAGGAGAGATAAAGTAAAGCCAAAAAATAAAGCAGAACTGTTCGCTGCGCTGGAGAGAGAGTGGGGTCGAATACATAGTAATGTGATCGATAATTTGGTGAATAGCATGTCTCGAAGAGTTAAAGCTGTGTTGGATGCAAAAGGGGGTGCCACACCCTATTAATTTATACTATTAAAAAAGGCATTTCTTGGTGAATCAACGATGTCAATTATATTGCTTTTTATTATACGGGTTTCTGAGTAAACTAGATTTGAAGCGTATAAAAATTTTATTTATATAATAAACATCAATCTAACTATTTTATTCTTTCAAAACACTCTCTTTTAACTTCCATACAACGTCTCAGCCTTTTACGCTGACTCTGAAAATACTCAGCATACTCTTCTTGGGTATGCTGTTGGTCTTTCCACCAAGTTTTTTTTTTATTTTTAGAAATAAAAAAGAAGTTACACGATACCAGATCAGGACTATGTATAGTAGGGAGAAATATGACTCGTTCTTCCTGAAAGTACTTAGTTACAATTTTTGACCCGTGTGGCACAGCATATAGGCATATGAGGGGGTTCCATTTAAACATGCTTTCTTGACAGAGATTTCATAATGTAAAGTTGTTTTATATTACCTAATTGAGATAGAAATAACTCCCTGAACGTTCTCAATGCTGATATGGGGTCATTATGTATAAGATGTTCAACGATATTAACGTTCGAAAATGTAACAGCTTCGCGAGGACGTCTAGAATGATGTGCATCTTTGATGCTTGATTGCCCGGCTTCGAATGCTTCAATCTAGCAGTAAATAGTACGTTTGAATAGTGCTTTAGTCCCTTCAGCAATTACTAACTCTTTGTGAATGTCGTCCGCCCCTTTACAGCGAATCCAGGTATAGTATCGTTGATTTTTACGAGTAAACTTTTCCACAGTTTTCATTAGAGAAATTTCAAAAAATTTTTTCTCGATAACCATCAAATTAAAATGGGTCAATTTTTTATGTTTAATCAAAGTGTGACTATAAAGTTGAGACGATCAATGGTTGCTGAAATATGTACACTGTGTCAAATTTTTGAACACCGTATTAAAGAATTGACGACATTGGATAAATTTGAACTTTCGATGTACAATCCGGTAGCTGGATTCAATCATAAATCTTACGATTAAAACGCGTCGCACCATGCGATTAGGACAAATCGTGCCATTAAATTAAAATAAATCACAGTCGTACTATTTAATATCATACGTTAAAGCAAATCATACCATTGAATCATACGATTAAAATAAATCGATATCAGCATTAAACAAACCGTATTAAGATGGCTGGCTTGGTGGACTGACTTATCGAATTCACATGACTAATTTAGTAAAACTTTACTTATATGTATTAATAGCAAGCAACTGGATGGATTAATCTGTACTCACAGAGCTCTTTTTTTAAGATTAGTGAGTGTTTTAATTTCCTACCTGCTTTACTTCCACCTCTACTACACAGTCAACCTGTTAATCCAAACCCCGGTTAACCAAAGGACTAAGTAAAACCTCGCTAAACTGAAGGTAAGTTCTAAAACATCTATATTAATTTACCCTGATAAACCTATGTTCCCGACCCACTTCAGTTTAACAGGGTTCACTATGTATCAGTGTTCATGACTATTATTCGTTGCAGTAACAGAACAATTGGGTGTGCATTATATTATAGCATATACACTCGACAAAAGTTTAAATTCAAAACTTTCATGACGTTTATTTCAGAAATTCACTAAACAAAATTCAATAAAATTTATATTGTTTGAAAGCTCTACTTCTCCTGTCTATTTTTATTATAATTATATTTTGTTAAAATTTAAAATAGACGTAAGACTAAAAATTGCATTACACTAACCATTTTATTAAGTAAACTGAAACCTAATTCGAAAACTTTTCATAAATTTAATATCTGGTTGGCCAACCATTATTAGCAATACATTCTCCAATTCTTCTAGGCATACTATCAATCAAATTCAAACATGTTTTAAGTAAAATTTCTGCCATTCTTGCTTTAAAAAGTCTCCAATTTTCATACAATTTTCGCGATTTCTCAATCGTCTACTAATCTCCATAACATCGTATAGTAGTTTTAACAGTTCCAATGGGAAGATTGAGCAGTTGGCTAATTTTTTGCATTGTGTGACCACCCTTGCGAAGGCCAATAATTTGTGAGCGTATTGCCACTGTTAGTTCGCAATTTCTTTAAAAAAAAACAAAAATCAATATTGTTTTGATTCTTCAATGTACATCAAACAATAACCCAAGAAGGAAAGTATTATTATTATCAAAAAATAAAAGAAGAACAGAGCTTTTAAATGGTGTAAATTTTATTGAATTTTGTTTAGTAAAATTCCGAAATAAACACCATAAAAGTTTTGGATCTAAACTTGAGCATAGGTTTCAGTTTACTAAATAAAATGGTTAGTGTGATGCAATTTTTAGTCTTACGTCCATTTTAAATTTTAACAGAATATAATTATAATGAAAATATTCAGGAGAAGTAGAGCTTTCAAACGATATAAATTTTATTGAATTTTGTTTAGTGAATTTCTGAAATAAGCGTCATGAAAGTTTTGGATTTAAACTTTTGTCCATTGAGTGTAGTTAGATGTCATGACACACACTTGCAGACCTGTCAAATAAAATCAAAGTAAAAACTTTTTATATGATCGACTGTACTGAAATAGTAAAGGAGGTTGACTGGCTTACAGCTTATCGCGACTTTTCATACGTTGACCGACTTATTGAGAGATTTTAAATATTGAAAAAAAGGGTTTAGTATTTTTGACCGGTTTAGGCAAAAACCGACTTATCGAGTCTGCTTATGTATTTGCTATAAATTTAGTAACAATGTAGTATTAATGTGAAAATGACATTGATTTAAAGTTGTAAAAAGATTTGGCAGAAGATATATAGTGATATAATAATTGAACAGGTAACAAGCACGTCGCCATGTCAGTAATGCAAGTCTCATATGCAACGCAATGTTGCGAGAGTTTTACTGGAATGTATGCCTCGACACGAGCTATGGTGGTACCTTGCATCACACTGTTGTATATTTGAAGATCCTGTCTTCATATTTTCTTAATATTATCCTCGATATTATCAGTTTCGATTATGGGCAATTCTCCGTTATTATTATGTAAGACTACTTGATGGACTACGATCACTATAGAATTGACTGCGATGTAAGGTATTTTTGATGGATTATGAAATTAGTTGCGACTTACATATGCACTCTCGTACTGTACAGAGGGTACTCAAAAGTTTACGGACACTTTCTTATTGTGTAAATTACTCAGTTTTTTATTATGATAACAATGTTTTTCACAATAATCTGAAGATTGTAAGAGATATGGCTTTGCTTCAGTTGATCCAGCAACTTTGTATCAGTTTATACAAGCTGAAACTGCTGAATGACTGCATCCCATGATTTTAGCAATTTGCCTGCTGGAATGTCCAATCTTATGATCATAAATAATGCTGTTTCTTTGGAAACCATGAGTTGTTTTCCTTTATCCATTATTTTTTTCAAAAAAAAAAGAGACGTGGCAGATTGTTTTTGTTATTATTATATTTACAACATGAGAATTTGGACAACAGTTGACATATAAACATCCTAAATTAGTAGTGTAGAAACTTTTTCTATTATTGTGAAAGACATCATAATAAGAGCAAGTTATGCAATAAGAAAGTGTCCGTAAACTTTTGAGTACCATCTGTACGTTTCCCGTCCCTCTACAAACGTTCTTCGGGTTAATCTTTTGTTGATGGACGTGAGTGTATCTGTTTTGCATGGGGTATGTCCATCTGTCGCTATTTTTAACTTAACGACTTACTTGCAACTGCACGTATACAGCTTTTATATTACAAGCGTTCGGATTTTCCATAACTGAAATCGTAGGGTATTGAAATGTTTGCAAATTGCGATGCTGTCAATATACGCTCGTTTCATACTTACTATTCTTTCAAATTCCATATATTGCTAATACTGTATCTTATTATTTGATTACAGTATACAACACGTACATGGTTAGTCAGGGATTACTGTTTAACAATGTTGATGGCCGCCCCCAATTTTATATTACGTGACAACACGAATCACGTGGATTGCAAGTCCAAAGTATTATTACTATTACTATTACTATGTTGTTAAAGTCGTAGTCGGGTAAACTAGAACGAAGATACTATGAAATAGGAACATTATAGCTGCGTAACATCATTATTATTGTCATGGCGTCCGCCTCATCTCCATTTAGCAATCAGCTGATAAGAGATGTGATGTTGATATTTACTTGTTCTATTTTATTAGAAGTGATAAACCATCCGCCTCCCGCCCAATTGTCCCAATACTATAAATATCTTTACTTAATAATTTGTCAAACAAAAAGTTTACCCTTTACTCATCCTCCTAGCATATTATTTATTCTTCTTTTCTTCTCCCCGTTCAAGGTGTCCTTCCGCCTACCCGCCTTCTCTCTCTTCTTTCTTGCTACGAATAGGAAAAGAAGAATAAAAATATTATTAACGACTAACTTGCATATACAATTAATACCCACTTCTGCGTACTCGATGACCACTGAAACTCCTTACACACCTTTACTTGACTTCGACCCAAATACTCCATATCATACATTTATACGAAATTTACGTTTGTTGCGTACTGGTCAAGTCGTAGTTGGTTTTAATGTGTTGCTTGATACGACAAGAGTAGTCTTCTATGGACCACCGGACGCACAGAAGAGGGGGAAGGTGAGGGGAAAAGTGAAGCTTGAACTTGCCGGGAGAATGAATGTCAAAGTAAGTTTGGAGTTCGGGTAATAAGTGTTGCAGAATTGATGGACAGTGCATTCCGTCGCCCCGAAACTCTTTATGGATTTACGTTTAATGAGATTCCCTTACTAACACAAATATCCGCTACCATCCATATCTTATGCACTCGTAAATATCTCATATTAACTTGTCCTCTATCATGCAAATCCGTAAAACTCTGCGCCTGTACATTATAGGAAATTCTGATAACCCTCACAGGCGAATACCATATCCCAACATCACCATCCATATCATGTCAGATCTTTTCAACCTGCATTCTTCTTGTGCATAAGCGTACTCTCGCGCCTGGCACGCAAGAATTTCCATTCGAGTTTGTCTTGCCCGGCGATTTACCAGAATCATTCGGCTGTGATCTAATGCAATGTGAATACTTCATAGAAGCTGAATTGAAACCTAGAGACGAATTACACAGTCGAGAGAACAAACTAAAGGAGAGAATGGACTTGGTAATAGAAAGAGCGTTAATTGAGAATGATGAGTACGTAAAGTATGGGCTAGAGAGTGTAAGATACGTTGGCAGTATGGTTGATGTGTAAGTATTACAGTGTTAAAACATTTCCAATTATTCGGCGTTCCTGTTTTGCTGTACACGTATGGGAGACTCAAATAAAAGAGTCTGTAAACGACTTAGCCTCCTGTATATTACTAATATAATGTTTAAAACTAATTGACTGACCACTTAATATTATATTATTTCCATCAATGCCGTATAATAGCCTCGATTACGAATTCCTTGTTCCAAAAATCCTACCAACATCCAATAACGAACTCAAATTCCACGCACGATGGGATGGTCTTCTCGTGGATAGCGTCCGATTTTGGTTAATTCAGAGTGAACACATAAAATCTGCTCTATTCGACTATTCTCCCGCTTTCAACATTCACTCGCTACCCACTTCTTCCACGAGCCATTCATTTGATGAACTTACACACAAGATTATAGCTGGTCCATATCTATTCAATCTCCCCCGCAATCAATTACTTAAATTACAATGTCGACCGATGGTTTACCAACTGCCTATAACAGAACCGTTCGTACCCGACTTTTACTCACTAGGATTCGAAATAACTCATCAACTGATCGTATCCATTCAAATGGCAGATAAAAAACAGGCCAAGATTGAATTCGGAATACCCGTCAGATTTCATTCTATTGTAGCTAATGATAATATGGTCCCGTCACCATGTAACGTGCATGTCAATGTATACGGAGCACTTCTATACTACGGACACACGTTCTACCGAGGTAAAACAGCTGATGAAATACAACAAGAGTACTTAGACAGAATGAAGAAGAAACAAATTAATCGACTGCGTCGTCGTCGATTTATCATACCCAGACATCAATCGGACGAAGCAATGACTAAATTTGAGGACAGGATCGGTAACGCCAATTACACATACATTCCGCCATCCATAACAAGCAATGTAGATAAGACCGACATCGATAGCATTGAAACTGAACAATTAGTGCCAGTTACTGGATTCTGCACGGATACTGTACGATCTGCTTCAACGACCAAACACTCTTCAGCAACATCCACGGCAACGACAATTACGCCTAGTCATAACACAAAATACAACGACAAGCAGAATACGTCGATATTCTCTAACATTAATAAATCTAAATTTGCAACAACGTCTTCACGCACATACTCTATTGCATCTAAATTAGGCTCACTATTGAATCAGAAGAACCACGGATCACAAGTCGTCAAGGGATGTAATGCTACTGATGGAGACCCTGTAAAATATTCTCCTGGGGTCATTGAGACGTTGGCTCTTAGAGCTGGAGTTAGTGGAAATTGGCAAGTTGGATCAGTATATGTATAGAGTAGATATTGTCATACTTGTGATTGTGTGGACTTCACGTCAGGGATAATAGCATGTAATTATAATAATATGCACTCATTTCACAACACGCTAATTCAAAGTTTTTTTTCCTATTTTGTTAGTCAATTATAATTACTTATTATACACTTGTTGTAAATTCTTGTACATAAGCACGCCACATAAATCAATGAAAAGTTGTCATAGGAACTTCTTTTAATAAATGCATCGGCAGTAAAAATCAAGTAATAATCTATTGTGTTTTTTGAGCACAATAATAATATTTTTGCCCCACTAACGAAATGTAGTATATACAGTCCCTAGTTCAGATTGTTCGGTAACCCGGACGCTTGACGCCGCACTCATTTTTTAATATCAAATTCCTTCCTTTTATTCGTCTGTGATTAGGAAATTTCGATAATTCGGTTCGCTCAATTTTAATTCCTCCATGGGACGCTTAATAAAATTCAGCCGTCCGAGTTACGAAAGAAGTTGATGGTAATGGATCGTTACAAAAACAATACACATCTAACTGCACAAAGCAGAAAATATGCTGTCTAGGCAAAGACTATGAAGTAGAAAATCGACGATACAAGATATTATTGTTTAATCAGAAAAATGGTTAGCTAAGACATTACAGTGTGTAACGAAAAAAAAACAAACAAGGGTGCGTGTTGTTATTGATGACAAACGCGTCTTACTCCCCATGTTAGTAAACGTATTCAAGTAATAATTATCGTAGACTTGAAGTTCAACGACAAACAAATATCATTATTGGCTTAATGGCGTCCAATCCTTAATATTGTCAAGAATAACGTTGAAACATGGATGCTAAGAAATAAAACAATTTATGATACAAAATTAATTGCGATAGAATTTTGTATTGAAATTTTACCTGCAATAAAGCTTTCAAAAAATTGGAACTGTTGGTATATTTTATGATAGCGGGCTTTTTCGTTACACACTGTAGATCTCAAAAATGGCCAGAATTAGAACAAGCATGGACGACAATATCGAAAACACTCAAAGCTCTTTCCACATTGATATTTTCGAAAGTTGGTATCCGAATTATTATATTGGTATAAATAATTTGAAATAAGAATTTTTATTTCACCGCATACTCATAAGTTAACCTTAACTGGTAACACAGGGAAACTCGATAAGTCGGCTGGGTATGGTAGACCGACTTATCAAGAGGACCGATTATCGAGAGAACCGACTTATAAAGAACCACGTGACCGTTATAATAATAATAATATATCATAATATTGGATAAATACCTGAAACGAATGAATTGTCTATATATCATCACCGCCTCATCCTCATCTTACTTTACTACCTTTGTTCTGTATTCATAATTATCACAGTTGTATATATACTCGGGTAAATAAAAGCGTATAATTGCCCGACAATCAAATGATCCATCGACCAAAACAGTAATGATGCTTATCGAGAGTAATTTATATATAGCATGGAAGGAAGTTGACCGATTTATCGAAATTTTTGAAAATGTTTGCCGACTTAGGCCAAAACCGAGTTTCTCTTGTGTAGTTATAAAATATAATAAAATAATAACCGATATGGCAGGTTATTCTCGACTGCATCAACCACAGCGTTCTCCCCCCATTAATTTTTTTGGTTATTAAGTTTCACCAAGTCTGTTATACTTCAAAGTGGATGTGACCGTAACTATTAAACCTCTATATAGTCACCGCTGTGACTATATGATGATTGACCATTCACGTAAGGTCATCACTAATAGCTGAACGGCGTTGAGTGTGATAGTGGTTATAGAGGTAATCAAATAAGACAGTTCAAATTTACACTATATATTAATATATACGCAACTGTTCTACAGTTAGAAAATTGTTATGCATATAGGAATGATATTGAATTTGATGACTTTGTTTCATACAATTATATACTAGTAATTTTCACTAACATCTAAAAAAATATTATAAATTCTTTCCTGGTGCGTTAGAATATATTTTGCACAAAACCGTTTATACATTTTCATGTGTGGCTACTTTATTGCAGGATTGAATATAAGATCTTATCAACAAATTTGGCCGCTCCCGTGAGGTTGATATTAGTTTATTTTAACGTTGTATTTATAAATACACAGTGACTCTCTTTATAGTGAACCTCCGCTACAATGGATTTGGCTTATTGTGGAAGACTGTTAGAAACTTTTTTTCCTTCTAATTAAACTAGCTCTGTATAGTGTATTTATATAGAAACTATCCATTACTGGCGAGTGGATGAATATTTTTAATTGATTATAGTCTGGAACGCCTCTATATAGTGTAGGTAGTACAAAATTGATACTATGGAGTCTACAATACGTATTGTGTAGTTTCGTTCGATATAGTGGAGGGATGAATTAGAGGGAAGAAAAGTTTTTCTTCGTTGCTACAGAGGGGAAAACAAAAGATATAAGATTTCATGCTGGCTAGAAATAGACGTAGCCAAGAAACGTCCAAAAAACGTGTTGCCTTGACTGGGACAGACCTTTTTTAGCCGTTATAAAAATAGAGAATTATAATAATGCGAGTTTATTATTTTATGAAACTTATGAACTCATCACACCCGAATTCTCTATTCCCGGTTCGCTTACTATTCGAATTTTCTGCGGCTGCCTGGGATTCTGTAACGCAAACTACGATCAAAAATAGTTGGCGTCGTGCAGGTATACTTCCTCCTTCCATGACTTGGGATGACCCCTCTGTGATATTTCTGTTCTACTGACTGCAGAAGAGTATATTCTAGTTGATTATCAAGTTGTGAGTGAGAAACTGATGAGGAAATTATTAGGTTTGTAAATGGGTCAGAACCAGTGGTGAAAGTAAACGAGGCTTTGGATGGATTAACGACTTTAGGAAGATATTTACATGACCTCATGGGAATTGATGAAAACCTTGAACAGTTTAAGACATCAAATTCTTCGAAATAATATTGAAACAAGCGGCAGTCTAGCATTTTTAAATAATAAAATGATTGATCAAATTACACGTAATGTTTTGTTATAGTGTATATCACATTTCTTTTTTGTGAATATTCGTTATAGTGTAGAAACTTGTCAGATTTTTTATCTCCACTATAAAGAGAGTTACTGTGTATGTCGTGCCGATCATTTACAGAAGGTCGGAATTTTATTTGTTGCACGTGATTTTGATAATTATCGAAAATTTTATCTATCGTTTTTTGCTTTATTATTATTTCACTCACTGACTTTAAAATTAATCTGTTTTAGTAATCGTTCTATCCATTAAACAAAGAATTTAAAGCATTTATCTATTAAAAAGACGTATGCGTTAACATAGCTTCAACAAAGACATTACAGATTCTTTAACAAAGATACTTTACACTTCCAGATAATTTTCTTGTTTGCAATGTTATTAACTTAACTGAACCTTCGTTAAACTTTTAAATTTATCCAATCGTTAAAATGATGTCATTTGCCCTTTTTGTCATTTGTCTAACATTAGATTTAGAACATCCAATCACCTCCTAGATGTCAAATGTAACACATAATACGAATCACATGAAAATCACGGGCGTGCATTTAGAGAGGGTAGATACATTTATGGAGGGTGTGCATTTATTTCTAATTCCCAGAGGATTTGGACTTGGGCCAGAATAAAATTTATCTTATTCGAAATTTTCCCGGCGAAAAAAAAAATGACGAAGTGTTGGAATGGTTACTATCGTATTTGTTGATATCACACATTGTTTTACCATATACTTAACCTCATCAAAACAGCCTGTCTTCCCATCCTTTTTTTTAAGTCATTTTCCGATATAATAAGCTCTAACGTACAGTATGACTTTATCATATCGCATAAAATCGGTTCTCGTTAATACATGGTATTTGGCTTTAGGGTGGCATTATGAATTACAAATGCACCTTCTAGTCCGCTCGCATTGTAGCATACATTAAGTAACCTGGTCGCGATCGAATATACGAAAATTGAGCGACAAACAAAGAAAAAATGTTCTGGTTCAATTCAGCCCAGATCTCAAGTAAGTTTGTGATACCAATTGTGTACAACGAATTACCACAAATGTGTCACTACTACTACAGTATATGACTTTAATATTAATATTGCATGAAGTCGTAACTTTATCGGCCGGACACAACTGTCAGGAAATTCGGCGTTTACATGTTCCATGTCAATTCGATACATCGCACACCAAGTATTATGCAAGATAAGAATCTCCTGCTTAACTTGCAGATGCCAGTTCGTCTCCATAACTGATTTAATCAATTCAACATTTTGCTCTCTTGCATCCACATTAGGTGACTCTGCACACATAGATATAATAATAACATATTAATATTAAGATTTTCAACGCATAAACCATAGCCACGTTCAATTTATATTACTTATTAATACCTCGATTCTGTTCTTGAATTCTGTCCGGCCACTCTTCAAAATATCTCAGACAGTCGATCTTATAATATATGATCATCCTCCGGTGTACGATTATTCCAAGCTCTTAAGTCGTCAAGACACTTAAAATAAATTTAAGTAAATGACATATGTGCATCAACCAAGCGTTTGGTGGAAATATGTATGAATGCCTATTTGGCGAGGGAGGAATCTTAAATGGCTTATATTGTTATACATCATACCGTCTCTACTAAAGTGACCAGTTTCACATTGGGGTATATGTAAAGCTCATTATCGTCCGAAGAATAATAGGGATCGATATTTAATTGGACGCGATGAAAATGAAATAGGTGGTGGGAGAGGTGGTATCTTCGTCGTGCAGTTGAACACTGCTATTGCTCCCAACTTGTTTATTTTCATTGTTTCTTTCTTCCGCTTCTACTTGTTCGTCATAATTTTCAAAGACAACATTATCTGGTATATCCTCTTCATCAGTAAAACCCATATTGTTTAATTCTCGTAATAAAATTCTATTAGATGACCGAATACTAAAGCATACGGCGTCTGGTTCGTTGCAGAACAACTTGCGTATTCGCTGTCTTCTAGCCA